GCTCGTACGTAGTTTATTTAGTGTTGCGTTTGTTTTTAAATGTGATAAATTATAGATTGTTTTCGTCTCTATTTTTAAATATGGTTGTCTTTGTACCACGCTTCGAGCTTTTGTGGATGAAGCGTGTTTTTCAAATAACATTTATTATGATAATTATTACAATGTCTTTTGCATAACACATTTAAAGACTTCCACCGTTGACAGTAGGATACCGCATATTTCATCACAGCTATCATCGCAGCTTAGAATCAAACGAATATTTACCTTGACCCGGATATAGGTCAAACACTGAAGGCGCGGACTGCTCGCGAAACGATGTGACATCAGCTTGCTTGGGAGTTATATACAAATTACTACTTCTTCCTCTTTCCAGGGCTTCTAGGTCTTGAGTTGCATTTTTTAAATCCACAGAAGTTGTAGATTCGTCGCTTTCATTGTCGAGAGGAACTATGGCGTTTCTATTTCTACACAAGGATTAAAAAAAAAAGTGTATACATTTTTAAAAATTATTTAATAACAGTACAAACCTTTAAAATAAATCTAATGATAAATTATAAGAATTTTTTTTTTCTCAAACCAATTTTTATTCATTTTAAAAAAAAATGTTTGTTCCCATGCTTAGTCTTTTCTTTTTTTTCATGTTAAATTTCTTATAGGTAGAATCTTCATATATTATTTACATTTACTCGATTACGAATATTAATGTCTCCCCATTGCTCTGGTGAAGGTATTTTCAGAAACGTCTGAATTTGTGATCTATCAAACATAATTAAAGCTTAACATATTTTTAAAATAAAATTGTTTACACAAATTGTTTGTGTCTCATAAATCTACCTTAAAGTTTTCGAGCATTCCTTCGATTTCATTAACACTTAATTTTGTGCCATTACTTCAAGTTAACCAGTTGACCCCAACCAATATATAGCAACTGACATTAACAATGTCACGGCAATTTTTCAAGGCAACGATATAAAAAAAAAAAAAAAAGAACACATTTGGGACCAAAATATATACATTTTTTGTGCTTTTTTGTTTCGATTTTTTTAAAGGACTTAGGTTGATGAAAATTAATTTAAGAAAAATCATTATTTACCAGATACCACAGTTTAAACGGGAAAAGATATATATCGTGACTTAATGAAGTTTCATTTTTACTTTGAGTTTTAAATGACTTTACCAATTTAATTTCCAATTCTCATTGATTTAATCTTTAAATGTGGGATAAATTTGTCAATTATTTAAATTTTTTTACCTAGAAAACCCACAAACTGTATTGTCTTTTTTTTGTTGATGTTCTCATCTATTTCCAGGGCAATTATTTTTTGTTGTGTGTATTTAGTAAATATTTCACGTTTAGGGGTACGTTCGCACTGCAGAATATTAGCCTTCAGTCTGCTACAGTCCCACGTCTCTTCAAGACAGCGGTCGTTAAGCCTCTGCTTGAAAAAAAGTGGCCTGGACCCAAATGAGTGCAAGAATTTCTGCCCGGTCTCCAACCTGCCCTTTGTATCTAAGATTCTTGAGAGAGTTGTGTCACAGCTGCTTGTGCAGCATCCAAACACTTATGACTTACTTGACAAGTTTCAATCTACATATCAACCTGTGCACGGCTGTGAGACAGCACTACTCCGTGTTATGAATGATGTTCTTTGAAGTGCTGACCGTTGTGATCTGACAATATTGGTTCTGTTGGATCTCAGTGCTGTCTTTGATATGATCGACCATGTGCTTCTTCTGTCAAGACTTCTGAATGTGGCAGGCATTACTGGAACTGCACTTCGCTGGTTTTCTTTTTATCTGACTGACAGGATTCAGCGTATTGTAGTGAAGCAGGCATCTTCCATAGACACTTCCGTTACCCGTGGTGTGTCACGGAGCTCATTCTTAGGACCTATTCTGTTCTCCATGTGCACTAGCCAGCTCGGCTAAATTATTGAAAGTCATGGTATTTCCAGCAAAATATTTGCAGATGACTAAGAACTATATAAGTGTTTCCGACCTGATCCCTTGGAGTGTGCTACTGCTGTTCAGGCTGTCGAGGACTGCTGTCTTGCTGTGAAAGATTGGATGTCATCAAACAGACTAAATTTAAATGATGATAAGACTGAGGCAATTATTTGTGGTTCAGACGCCAATCTTCGGAAAGTTACCATTGCATCAATGAAATTTGGTGAATCAGAGATCCTTTTGTCCTTAACTGTCAAGATATCTATACCACGTAGACACAACAATGGGTCCTGATGCAGAAGTTCTGATTGTTGTTTCTGTGCCAGAGTGGTGGTCGGCCATCTGCTGATGCAGAAGTTCTGATTGTTGTTTCTGTGCCAGAGTGGTGGTCGGCCATCTGCTGATGCAGAAGTTCTGATTGTTATTTCTGTGCCAGAGTGGTGGTCGGCCACCTGCGGCTCCGGATCAAAATGCGGCTTTTAAAAAATCTTTTATATTAACTTCCCTTTCCTTCGTGGCTGACTGGCTGGGTGGCTTGCTGACACATTTCGGACGGCTAATTGACCCCCTTTCCATCGGCCTATCGAGCTGAAACTTGGCACATAGACTCATTACAAACGACTACACTTTCATTCACATGGTCAAACCCAGCCCTACTCATAAACCGCAAAAATCAGTTCCTCCCGTTTCCGAGGGGAGTATGAGGAAAATATGATTTCACGAAATAAAATTCAAGTTATCTGCTCTCAATGTGTTTTTTTTTAAAATCTCAGGCGCGTTTGGTGGTTAATATTTGATGTGTTTTTCTGACACAAACGGTGAAATAGATCTGCGATGTAAAAACAGGAGGGTCATTATGATATCAATATAGTTCAGGGGTGTTAAAAATGTGCTGCAGGGAGCCTGGAGGGGCGAGCATTAACTCTGATCTCATAAAGTGCGTTACTTTTATAGATGAGTTGTTTAAATTTCAGCCCCACCCCCTAATTGCTCGATATTACATTTTTAAAAGGATTTATACCAAAACCACGTTTAAGGAAATTTTTTTAAGTAACCATTTTAATTTTCACTTTAGACATAATTAAATCTCGTCCCCCGTACTGTACCCGATAAACGCTGTCGTGGGTGGGTGGCTGGGAAGTGGATTTATGAAAGCAGTAGCTAGATTAGTGTATAGTGAGGATATTCTGCACACATAAGTGATCACCCCACCCCTTCCCCCATGTAGGAAAAATATATAATTGAAAAAAAAGTGAATTGATTTAATTAATTCCATTTCTTTTTTAAAAAAAGCTATAGCATACTGTTTGTAAACTTTTAGACAATATGCTATAGTGTACGTGACTGTCGCATGCTGATTCACTTGCCAACATTTGCCCTGGTAAGAATCTCAGTGACAGATCTGCAGTGTGCTATGTGAAAGTAACTTAACTCTGGATATGTTTTACATTGACCGGAGCATGCCGTTACATAACACACCCCACCCACAGCAGTTTTTGAGTCTCTTGGGGAGAACGTTAATTTTAAATTGCCCGACCAACCTCTGTTTCCGCTTGTATATCGCCATGGCAACGATGACGCTGATGATAAAGACGGCGCCACCAAGTCCAGTTCCTATGGCAATGACCTCGTTCTGAGACAAACCCAAGCGATTTGGTGAAATGGAACAATCGTCACCTTCATATGGCTTGGTGACATTCTCTCTGCATCTGTGAACATTTTAGATATTTTTTAGTTTATTAAAACAGTTTTTGAAATGATGATCATTGGGAAAGACAAAACAATGATTATTATTTTTTTAATTTCCCTTTTCCTTTTAAAAAATTAGTTTACGAATAAGATCAAAGTGAGCTGGGAAAATGAGTTTTTCCATCTTTATTATTTATTTATTTATTCAGGCATTTTATATAGCGCTTACCTTAAAGCTCTAAGTGCTTTACAATTATTAAAAACATCTAAACTTTATTTGGCAAATATATTATCTACTTATAGAATTTCAACTAAGAATGGATTATAACAAACTTTTCATTTTTTCAATTAATTAAAAACTAAAATGTTTTTTTTTTTCGTATTATTATATTTTTCTTTATAAAGGAGTTCATTAAGGGCTGATTTCTACGATGGTGAAATAATTTAGGTGTCGTGTTTGTTTACTGTTATAATTTTACAATGTTGTCTTGGTTTAAATACTTATTTATTATTGTGCTGAAAATATGTACAATGTAACAAAAAAAGAACTCCATCTCCTTTTATTTGGTTTATTTCTTATCTTATCGTATAATAAACTACCTGCATTGGGCGTTGAACTGTTCACCAATATAACACTCGCCCCTGTCAGAACAGGTGAGAAACTTGCACTTAGAGAAGCACTCTTGTGAGGCCTGGTCGCATTCGTATCCGGCTTCACAAATATTTTCTAACAGACATTTATCCTGCAGGGCTTGTATCACTGCATGTGTGACTGGTGATACAAATACATATTAGTTCTCTGCTAATTACGATGCAGTTAAGAAATGTTTTTATTAGAGCGTTTTTCTTGATGATTTAATGTAGGTTACGAGAAGTGTAAAATTGTAACCGTAGACGTACACAGAATGTGGACTTTTTAGTTGAATGTTTAACTCAAGGCTGTAAATAAATATCATATTTTATGCAAGGCGATGTAATGTTTTAGAATTGTCAAATAAAAATCATACTATCTCTCATTCTGATTTATAAAAAGAAAATCGAATTAGGACAATGCGAAATAATAATGACCATGTTCATTACAATACTTTTGCACTACGTGTAAAAAAAAAAAAGAAAAGAGAATTAGAATCTGCATTTAAGGAGTAAAATATGTCTATCATCCACATAGATTCAAATGATATAGCCTGTAACTAATGCCTAAGAAAGATATTTTCACTTCATACTTAACAGATTAAAAACAAAAACAATTGGTCAAAATGCCCGACTTCATAGTCTTCACGTCATTAAAATAACCTAGCGAAACAAAGTTGTTGACTTATCATAAAAATAATTTTTTAAAAGATATACAATCGTTTAGGGAGAAATTATTTATGACCGATGTTCTTACAGTTGGTGACGGCGCCATCGAACGTTTGATTGACATAGTTTGGGTCCACACCTGGGATGGCCATCAACCTGGACTTCACCGCCTGCATGTCCTGGATGAGTTTTGTGATGTTAACCGTTTGGTTGTTGTTTTCGGCAGCCTTAAGTACAACTTTGTATCTGACGCCGATGCTGCCACGCCTGGAGGTAGTGGTAGAAAAATAAATCAATAGCATCTTTTTAATAGTTTCAATAGCATAGGACTCTGGTTTGTTCATCGAATCTAATTTTTTTGTTTTGTTTTTGTTTTGCATTCTTCAATTTTTAGTAAACGTTTTTCATGTGGAGATTAATTGTGTAGCTGTTTTCTATGTGGTTTGTTTTGATGTTGGTTTTTTTTTTAGGGGGGGGGGGTAGGAGAGATGAAGTATTCCGTTGTTAAAGTTTGTGTAGTTAGCGAGTCGCAGATTTTTTTGTTTTGTTTTTGTTTTGCATTTTTTAATTTTTTGTTTATGTTTTTCATGTGGAGATTTTTTGTGTTGTTTTTTTTTATGTGGTTTGTTTTGTTGTTGGTTTTTTTTTAGGGGGGGGGGGTAGGAGAGATGAAGTATTCCGTTGTTAAAGTTTGTGTAGTTAGCGAGTCGCAGAGAGATAGTGGAAGCCCGGTTCAAGAAAAGAGAACGGTTTGTAATAGTGATCTTTGTGTTGTTACTAAATACCCTTAGATTAAACGAAGCTACTGAACTGCTTCTGCACGTAGTGGTAACATTTGATCCCATGGGAGCCCCCAGATGTTATGAACTACTGCACACGGAACAATTATGAACATCTGCTATGCTGCTTCTATTTTTTGATAAAGCAATTATTTAAGAACGTGGACATAAATTACAAACCAAATCACGAAATCATTGAACAAATAGTTGTGAGCAAGTCACAATCAAACATTTAAGTTTTGTTGTTTATTTTCTTAATTGTTTGTGATAAAAGGGCTAGTTTATGTGCAATTTATATATCTGTAGTTTGTTGGTAAAAAAAAAAAAAGGAAATTGCAATTAATGTCTTCCACTTTTTGTTGCCTTTCTCACTGTGCAAATCGATGACTGTTGTAAAAAGAACTGTGACATCAGACAGCCCTGCCGCACGCCCGACTCTGTATCTAAAGTCTCTGATAGTCTCCCCTCATGATTAACACTGCAGTTCATAGTGTGCCTTTATTACACTGCTCACTTATATTTCAAAACCTGGTGGCTCTTCGGTCCAAATGTGAGATATTGTGTCCCATAATTCGCCATCAACTGGTTTTTTTTTTTTTTATTCTTTCAGATAATACTTTTTTCAAAGTTTTCAAGATAATGATTGCCGAACAATGGCTTAAAAATCAGTGAAATCTTTTAGACCGCATTAATTTCAAAGGCTTAACAGACGATCCTCCCGCCAGTCTTCAGTGAAATCTTTTTTTTTCCAACAAATACTAATATATCAAATGATATTCTAAAGTATTTTGTTGACAGTTCAATGTCTGGTTGTATTTCTACAGCACTTTTTCCATCTTCTTTTACAGCTTATTTGTTCTAAAACTCTTTTTATCTTACTTTGTTTCCCCTTTAGTATGTCTGGCAAAGATATACTGATCACTTTTGGTAAATTTGGATTATACGGTACACTCAGTAAGCTTTTACTTTCTGCCCTGCATCTGTATATTTCTGGGAATAGGGCGTTTCCGTTAACTAGAAGCAGAAACGTTTTCCTTGCCGCGCCATCCAAATTGTCACTTGTCACCTTACAAGATTAGACTCCTTATTTCAAAGTAAAAAATACGACATTCATTGCACGGAGAGATTTTAGAAGTACAGATGATCTCTAGTCACTGACTTATGGCACCTTAACTCCTCTTACCTCAACCCAAACTTCGAAAAGCAACTTCCCAACATCATGGCCGTGCCAATGGGCGGGGTAACAAAAAAAAAAGGGGGTGGGAGGCACCCATTCCGGAGCACCATCTTCAAGCCAAAATGGTTATTAATTTATCTTACTCATTGAGGCATTAGGGTGCCTAAATTGAGACTTTGTCGCGGTCGCATGCATGTTTCCTTACCGAGACCTTGCTAATCACGCCAGTTTATCAATATAGTCACTTACCAAAACCCAAGGATGATAATCCCTCTGAAGTTTGAGACTCTTTGAAACGGTTCCTTGAGCTGTGGACAATTTACCTTATAATTAGCCATTTTAATAGCTTGTTTGGAAAAAAATCAACAGATTTCATCATCTTAACCCAAATATATTCCAAGCTGATTTGACTTATTAAAATTACTATATGGCAACAAGTATTGAGAAAAACTACTAATCAAGAAAAAATTTAAAAAACATCAACATATAAATAAGAATGAGCTATGCTGACCGTCACGCCAAAGAAGCTAAAAGATTTAAATACGTTCGGTACCTTAAAAACGATTATAGTTATTTTCTATAATTCTAAGGAAATCGAATTAAATCTAATATATCGGCTTTTATTTTAATAATATTTTAAGTATTATTATTATTATAAATTAAAGTTTGAAAATTATTAAAAAAATATTTTAAAAAATGATGGTCAAAGAATTACACTGTACTAACATTTATCGGGAAAATTCCAAACATCTGTTATTTTTAAGTGTGTTTTTTAGTGCGTTGTTGAAATTACGAAGTAAAATCTAAATTTATAAATCGCCAGCAAAGGTCAAACACCACCACGCAGGCTATATATAGATACGCCAGAATGTGGTAAATAATGAGTTCACTAGCGCGCAAAATATAATTCCGGATAACTACGCTAAATGATATATATATTTTTTTTAATAACGCAATTGCGTTTGTTGCGTAATATTTTCTTTTCGGAGCTGAAATCGTCTCAATTGAAGTATTGTTTAAAAAATAATTGGTTTAAAAGTGGTTGGGACACGAGAATATTTATATAGTTCATGAGCAATTGGGCGACTTATGCTACGTCGAGGATCGACTAGTTAAGATTAATTAGTTTTAGATCACCACGCAAATGACGTCATAGTGCGAATCGCCTATTTTAGCCAAAACTCTTAAGGTTCTTTGAGTGAATAACCGAGCGTTACAAAACTGATATTGTATATGTCCTTTCTTAAAAGTAAAATTAACAAACATATTTAATTGCTTTTGTATTGTTAATAAAACACACCAATTTTACCTTTGTATTTTTAACATTTAATAAGTTTTTTACTTTTTTAAATTCAAAAATCATACTTTTATTAAATGTATAACATAATAGAAACTCAATAGCCAAATGGCATTCACTAATCCACTTATAGCTCATCAAAATAAGAAGAAAAAAAACAATACGAAGAGTAAAATATATTAGTATGGGTATGGAAGGGAAGATTGTATTAATTTTATTTAAATCTGGTTGGTGGGGGTGGGGTTGGTCATTTTGCCCCCAGGCAGCACAAGATACGTCTTAAAATAAAGAAATGAATTTGATAAATAATTTACCTTCTTGGGTACATACATGTCAAAGGTAGGAAATGGGATGTGTACATGTTTACCTGGGTGGCGATACATTTTAATCCTATGGCATTACATTTGTTAAAAAAGCGATGTTACATTCTCCTTTAATAAAACAAACATATGTTTACAAATTAAGAAAAATCAATGACGTCAACAAAACGTGGGTACGTTTATATAAGTGTACAAATGAATATCAAAACCCAGTTATTTTACACACTTGAAAATTTAATTTTGAAAAATGATGATGGGTTAATGTTTTCTTTAAAAAAATTATACTATATATTTTTGTTTTTACTTTGCGAAAAGTATAGTGGATGTGTATTTTTGTGAGGTTAACATTTAAAAGAAAAACCAGACACTCAAGTCTGTTATAGACGTGATAAACGGTTGCCAGATTCTTCTTTAATTAAAAAAAAATTATTTGTGTTACAATTTTCTGATAAGTTTTAATAAAAAAAAACAAGGCAAAAAAAGTGTTTAAATTTATTAAGAAGATATTAATATGTCAAATACCTTTAAAATAAAATATATTTTTATCATATATGGTGTTTTTGTTCTAAATTTAATTTTATGTTTTTCACAACTTGTAGAGAAAAAAAAACGTTATGGTTTAAGGGCAGTAATCGGGTTAAATCGTAAGTGTTTCTCTGGCGTATAAATCATCCCTCAATAAACTTCTCTAGTGACAAAACTGATCTAGTTATGTGGTCATTAAGATCGGGCAATCAAAGGTCATGTTTAGAGAGAGAAAAAAAAATGTAACTGAGGGGCATGAAAGCTTATAATATATAGCAGATAAATACTTCTCAAAACGTAATGATGTTAGTAATGTAAATATCGTTACATAGATACTTATTTTTAAAGTTATGATATGTGATGAGTTTTTGCAATAGCAGGTGGAAAATTATCGCAAAGGACCTACCATTATTATCCCGATGACATCGTATTATTTTAACTACAATAAATGACCCGATGTTATCTGGAACATAATGGTAGGTTATGACTATTCTCTACCATTAATGCATGAGGATTTTAAAAAAAAATTTTTGCTCGAATATTATCTGAAAGTTTAAGATAAGAAAATTATTATTAACTACAATAAAGGACCCTTGGCCTATCTTACACTTTTAGATAATATTCTAGCAAAAAACAAAAAACAATTTAGAAATATTCCGCATGCTTTATTTGTAGAGAATTGTCATAAATAGTTAATGGGTGTTAAACTTCAAAATCAAATATATCTTACCAGGTGTTCGTACTTCCTAGATGTGTTTTTAAACTCATCAGATTGTTGATTGTCCAGCGCGTCTGTATAATTATCTTTAAATTTAATATCAAATTCAGCATTGATCACAGCGTTCACTGAAAAGGAAAAAATCAGAATACATGTAATTAAAAGTGAGCCGTGATCAGCAGTCAGTTGGAAAAACCGCTTAACGTTATTCCCAGCCCATAAATGGTTTACTGACGCTGACAATTATTTTTCATAGACGAATGTGAATAGCCACTCCGTAAGTAAAATAGATATCACAAAATACTTGTATAACCGAAATAAAATCTAATACACAAATAAAGATATCAATAAAACGTTGAAACGAAAGATTTACTTATGTCCAGAGGTTTCCGGAAAACATCTAAAACATCAGGAGTTAATCGTGTTGGAGACTCCCTAAGGGTAGTAGACAGATTAGTTGGCGTCTCAGTAGTGGGAGTCTCATTATTGGATGACTCAGTAGTTGGAGTCTCATTAGTGGGTGACTCGGTAGTGGGAGTCTCAATAGTGGGTGACTCGGTAGAGGGTGACTCTGTAGTGGGAGTCTTAGCAGTGGGAGACTCATTAGGGGATGACTCAGTACTGGGAGAATCATTAGAGAGTGAATCCATAGTGGGGGACTCATTAGTGGGTGACTCAGTAGTGGGTGACTCATTAGTGGGTGACTCAGTATTTTGAGACTCATTAGTGGGTGAAACAGTAAAGGGAGATTGATTAGTGGGTGAATCAGTAGTGGGAGACTCATTAGTGGGTGAAATAGTAGAGGGAGATTCATTAGTGGGTGACTCAGTAGTGGGAGATTGATTAGTGGGTGACTCAGTAGTGGGAGATTGATTAGTGGGTGAATCAGTAGTGGGAGACTCATTAGTGAGTGAATCAGTAGTGGGAGACTCATAAGTGAGTGAATCAATAGTGGGAGACTCATAAGTGAGTGAATCAATAGTTGGAGACTCATTAGTGGGTGAATCAGTAGTGAGAGGCTCTTTAGTGGGTGACTCAGTAGTTGGAGATTGATAAGTGGGCGAATCCGTAGTGGGAGATTCATTAGTGAGTGAATCAGTAGTGGGAGATTCATTGGTGGGTGAATCAGTAGTGGGAGATTCATTAGTGAGTAAATCAGTATTGGTAGAATCATTAATGAGTGAATCAGTAGTGGGAGACTCATTAGTGGGCGAATCAGTAGTGGGAGATTCATTAGTGGATGAATCATTAGTGGTAGACTCATTTGTGGGTGACTCAGTAGTGGGAGATTCATTAGTAGGTGAATCATTAGTGGTAGACTCAATAGTGGGTGAAACAGTAGAGGGAGGCTCATTAGTAGGTGAATCAGTAGTGGGAAATTCATTACTGGGTGAATCAGTAGTGGGAGATTCATTGGTGGGTGAATCAGTAGTGGGAGATTCATTGGTGGGTGAATCAGTATCGGGAGATTCATTAGTGGGTGAATCAGTAGTGGGAAACTCATTAGTAGGTGAATCAGTTGGAGATTCATTAGTGGGTGAATCAGTAGTGGGAGACTCATAAGTTAGTGAATCAGTAGTGGGAGACTCATTAGTGAGTAAATCAGTAGGGGGAGACCCATTAGTGAATGAATCAGTCGTGGGAGACTCATTAGTGGGTGAATCAGTAGTGAGAGGCTCTTTAGTGGGTGACTCAGTAGTTGGAGATTGATAAGTGGGCGAATCAGTAGTGGGAGATTCATTAGTGAGTGAATCAGTAGTGGGAGATTCATTGGTGGGTGAATCAGTAGTGGGAGATTCATTAGTGAGTAAATCAGTATTGGTAGAATCATTAATGAGTGAATCAGTAGTGGGAGACTCATTAGTGGGCGAATCAGTAGTGGGAGATTCATTAGTGGATGAATCATTAGTGGGAGACTCATTTGTGGGTGACTCAGTAGTGGGAGTCTCACTAGTGGGTAAATCAGTAGTGGGAGACTCATTAATGGGTGAATCAGTAGTGGGAAATTCATTAGTAGGTGAATCATTAGTGGGAAACTCATTAATGGGTGAATCAGTAGTGGGAGATTCATTAGTGGGTGAACCAGTAGTGGGAGACTCATTAATGGGTGAATCAGTAGTGGGAGACTCATTAATGGGTGAATCAGTAGTGGTAGACTCAATTGTGGGTGAAACAGTAGAGGGAGGCTCATTAGTAGGTGAATCAGTAGTGGGAGACTTATTAGTGAGTAAATCAGTAGTGGGAGACTCATTAGTGAGTAAATCAGTATTGGGATATTCATTAGTGAGTGACTCAGTAGTAGCATCCTCACTATTAGGAGACTCAGTAGTAGGAGACTCATTAGTAGGAGATTCAGTAGTAGGAGGCTTAAGCGTGAGAGACGCAGTACTAGGAGACCCAGTAGAAGAAGACTCGGTAGAAGAAGACTCAATAGTGGGGAACACAGAATTGGTAGACTGAGTAAGGGGGTACTCAATAGCGGGAGGTTCATTAGATGAAGTCTCAGTAGTGGAAGGTTCAGTAGTCAGAGACTCAGTAATGAGAGAATCAGTAGTGGGAGACTCGGTAGTGGGGGACTCGGTAGTGGGGGACTCGGTATGTGGAGGCTCAGTTTTTCCTTTAATTCTCGAAACCATGATGTGCCCAGGTGCTTCTGTTTTATTATCGTACAACATCGTGGCGATCCTTGTACTTGTATTTGTTTCGTTAGTTGTAGTTGTAGGTGTTGCAATTTTTGCTGTATGTGTCACCGTTGCATCGGCATTTTCATATTTTTGAGTAAAAGGTTCAGTAAAAAATGTGCTAGCTGTCACAGAAGTATGGTCAGGATTATTATTACTAGCGACATCTCTGTCATTTGCATTTTTAGAAACAACAACAACACCATCAACCGTTTTTGTTGTCGAGGACTGTGTAATCGTTTTATTTTGTCCAGGAATCGTATTCGTCATACGAGTACTATTATTTTCAAATTTTTCTACATTTAGTTCAGTACTAGGGGATTCATCAGGATCCCAGTTTATATTATTGTTTAATAAAGCATTTTGTGATATTTTGAATGCTACATTTTCCCCCCAGAGTTTATTTTCGCGTTTTAATCTTCTTTTTCCTATAAATTTAGAAACGATATGCCGGATGGGTGTTGCCTTGATGTTTCTCAAGTAATCTGAAGTTTTTTGGTATTCACTGCCATATGATGAAAATTCATAAATCCGTGAATCCATGTTGTATCCGTGGTTTTTATGTTCGTAAAGTAGTGGCAGTTTTAACTTTTCAGTACTTATTTTATCACGGGAAACATTGTCTTTGATCGCTAAAGCCCCGTGGCCTACACTGGCGACAATATACAATGCCATGTACGTAATTAGCTTCTGATAGAGCATTGTTTCCTTGAAGTTATTTAAGTAAATGTTTTGGAAGCAAATAATTTCAGATACATACACTATAGCTTTCAAAAATTAAAATGAGTCTTAAATGTCGAAAGTACTTCATACGCAACGCGAAACCGGAATTAGTCAGTGGTCCAACATCTAGTATAGAGTCCGTGCGTTCCAAATCTGGCGTGTCAGTCGAACAAAGAGTTAGTCTGATAAAATAATTCCTTAGTTCTCGTCTTATGCTTTGAGCTAAATAGCTGATATGATTCAGAATTCAGCCCAAGGAATGCAGTTATTCTCGGGAAGGAGTTATTCGCTTAGTAAACACTATTCGATTCAATTCAGTGGGATGACTGCAGCCAATTTGAGATCTGTTATTAAAATGTGCCTTTCTGTGCAGAAATTTACACCTGCAGAAATAAAATCGTAAGGTTTAATTAGTATCAATGCATAAATAATTTATAGAGCATGAGAAACCTATGAAAAACTTAAACTGTATTTTACGCTGAATGTAACATGGCAGTGTCTGTCTCGACCAGGTGCTAAACTCCAAATCTGTCTAGACCAGGTGCTAAACTCCAAATCTGTCTAGGCCAGGTGCCTAACTCCAAACCCATCTAGACAGGGTGCTAAACTTTTTTTTTAAAACACTGGAAAGTCTGCATGCTAATTACTTGATGGCCCATTTAGCGACGTCTCCTATCTACAAAATGTAACTTGAAGCGCTTTACTAAACTGGAGATCCACGATCTACGACACAGGATCCCAACATATTTTAGTCGCCAATCCGATGCTAAATTGGTTATTGTCCCCCCCCCCCCCAACCCGCCCCCCCCTGGTTATTTGCCCCCCCCCCCCCCAAACCCGGCCCTCCCCCGACGCTGATCGATTTAAATACTGAGAAATTTCACCGAAATCAGATGTTTCAAATAGGATTGTTATAAATGTATTTATGTATTTAAATTTTTTTAACACGCATTAAAAAAAAATGAAAATATGCTTGAAATCATTTTATTTCGCTGTTGCAGGCGTGAGGACCCAAACGATAACCCTGCTCGACCCATGGTTTTTAAACCTTGGATCTAGAACAGTGGTCCCCAAACGGCGGTCCGTGGACTTTCACCGGTCCGCATGCCTAACGCTGCCGGTCCCCATAACATAAATATTTATTTTCAGATAGAAATAAAAGTATAAAAATAAATCATGCACCGGTTCCTGGTAAAATGTCAAAATTGTTCACCTTTCCGCCAAACTTAAACGTTTGGGGACCACTTATCTAGAACTCGTATTGGGGCAAACGTACGCTCTATTTAATCCATCGTCTTGTGTCATTTGCGGACGCTTCCATTGACTACATATGATTTTGAAAAAACATTTTAAAGCCATATATTTGATCTACTACTCACCCAATATCTCCTTAACAAAAAACAATAATTTTTAATTAACCATCTTATCAGCAACAAGTATGCAATATCTTGAAGTTTTAGTCAAGGTGTTATTGCAATAATAATATATCTTCTAGGCTATGCATACCTGTAGTCATGTCTAGAAACTAAGGAAAAAACCTTAAGATAAGAAAAATAAAATTACAATTCTACCTCACAGCACAAAATAAATTTTGCTTCAAGTCAATCCATATAAGAACAACTGAGATCCAGTTAAATTCTATTATTCTATATTTTTATGTTTATATTCCAAGATGTTCTTAGAGGGTCGCTCCTCCTACAAAAATGTTCTTTATCATTTTGAATCATTTAAGTACCGTTTCTGGTCTTCTTTCCATGTGTCAAGCTAAAGACACATATAATAAACAAAGGAAACGACAAGATAACGTTATATCTTAATTTTTCTTAACGATCCCATGCTAGGCTGTCATTGCAATAATTATTTGTGTTGCTTGTTTTAAAGTTGCCTTGTAGGACATGTGTTATTGTTATCTTATGTTGACTCAACTCTGACTTTACGAGGACTTGGATCCTTTGCTGATCACTACATTAATTTACGAGGACTCTCACATTTTTTATGTAATGCCTGGCACGGTGGTAAATTAAGTTCCTATAAAATTTAGAACCTTTTATTCACTTCAATCGTTGTTGTTTTTTTCACTAGTAGGCTTGGTCTGACGTGAGCTACATTCCTGTTACAATGATGTGCTGTATCCACATGGTAAATTTGGTTATCCACAATCTTGGGTGATCTATGGATGAATGCGGCTGGTTTTGTGGTACGAGTTAGAACCAATGGATGAAGAAAGAACGAAATGGACCATGTCATTATTATAACTGGAAAAAAAGGGCGTGAAGGAGATATCTCATTAAAATTAAAGAAAAAATTCATAATAACTTGGTGAAG